ATATAATTTTAAATATACATATATATTACTTTAATAAAAAAAATTAAAAATTGCCATTTTAGTTGTCCTGTTAAATTTTTTAATTATTATATGAAATCTGTATTATTATATGTAAGAAAAATTATGCATTGATTAAAATTAATTATAAAAGACTTTCATTGGAGGTATGTATAAATGTTACGGAAAAAGGTTTTAAAAATTTAACTAAATATTTTTATAATAAAAATTTAAAAATAATAAAAGATAAGTAAAGTATTAACAATTCTTAATGCTAAGAATTCCCACAATACCCCCTTGAGTGCCTGAAAGTCATGAAGGTTAAGCTTGCACAATTTAATGATCAACAGTCATAATAGTGGCAACGTGGCAGGGTTCGCCAAGTGGGCCCACTTTGAAAAAACCCGCCCGGGTTTTATTGGGTGGGCCCACCTTGAAAAAACCCACTTGGAATAATAAGTGGGTTTTTTCAAAAAAAAAAAAATTTTTTTTTTCACTAAAACTTATTGTTTTGCATTTACTCATTATTGTACTTATATTTTATTGTGCAGCATAAATTTGTCAAATAGAGTTGCATGATTTATATGATTAAGTTTTTATTGTTAGTAAAGTAAAAGAAACTCGAATCTTCACATAATTTTATAGTAGGTAGGTACTATTGAAAACTTCAAGTGGGTTTTTTCAAAAAGTAATATTTTAATGATATTAAATCAAATAAAAATTTAAATAATATAGTCTGAAAAGATCAATTTTTCAAATATAGTTGCATGCTTTATATATTAATAAAAGAGTTATTATTTATTAATATTAATTCATATGTTTAAAAAAATTTAAAAGAAACAATTTTTTTCTTTTTTTCCAAGTGATACATTAACAAATTTAAACAGTTTTATTTTCTGGCTAAAAAAAAAAGATAAAACTTTCTATAAGAGAACTTTTTAAAATTATTTATCTAACAATGAAATCATTTTCCTGGGGTTAATTAGTTGAAAACAAATGGAACAAGTAACTGATACTCTTTATAATTAAACGTAGTTTTAATTTCACTTTCTATTAATCTTATTATATAAACATGTATGACCATTAAATATTTATTTCAGTTCTTTATTTAACTCAAGTCAGATGAAATTTTAGTTTTTACTGATTATAAATATTTACAGATTATAATTTTATAATAGGTAATATCCATATGTCATATAAATATAGTAGTAAGTAATTGTGTGTGAAAACAAAAAGATTAATAAAATTGTTCCTTTTATATTACTGCATTTATATTTTATAATTCTTGAGTTAAAAAATTATGAAACGTAATGTACTTAACAATATAAAATAAATATAAAATACATATAACCAGGGTTCCTTAAGTGGGCCCGCTTTGAAAAAACCCACTTGGTGGTTTTTTTCAAATTTTTTTTTTTTAATTCGGTTCAAAAAGTAGTATTTCCTAATACTATCATTGGACACATCGTTGAAGTTAACGATTATTTTAGAAATGTGCATCAAGCACATGGATGGGCAAATGAATAAAACTGCTTGATGACCCAATGATACTAGGTGGAATTCATATTGTGAGCGCGTAAAAACTTTTCCCAATATTTACCATAAATATGAAGAGATTGTTCTTGAACATCAAAATGAATCTAATAATAATATGTCAAAAATATTAAATAATGTTGGGCTTTACCAATAAACTATCAATTGGGAAAAACAGATATCAATTGTTTCTTAAGCTTTAAAAAAGCTTCAATCAGAAAACATTTCAATTTCAGAAGCTGTTGAAATATGAATTAACTTACTATCGTGTGATGAATTAGAACCCCATAAACATTTTGTAAAAAGATTCAATCAGGCTGTTCAGCCACATCATTTATTAGCATATGCATCCTGGATCCCGAAACAAGGGGACAATTTTTAAATGATGAACAAGACCAATTAGCAGAAAGCTGTCTTTCTAAGCATCATCCAGAATTTCTGCCACGTGTTATGGCATCCAAAATTTCCGATCCTGAATACTTTCCAAAATCAATGATGCTTGACACTGTTATTGAACAGTTTTCATCAAAAAATAGTGGAAAATTATGGCAAAAAAAATAAATAAATAAGTAAATAAATAAAATTCCTAGCTTCCACAAAATTTCTGTCAATTCTTTTTTCTTTGCACTCAGCACCAGCATCCTCTGTCTCTATCGAAAGACACTTTTCAACTTTCGGTTTGGTGCAGAGTAAACTTCGAAATAGATTAGGAATAGATAAAGCTACAAAACTCGTAAAAGTGTATCACCATCTAAGAGAGAAATGTAGACACTTTGAATCTGTTGTATGATAATAATAATAAAGGAAAAAATGGACCTCTTTTTTTAAGTTAACTCTTAACATCTGCTGACAATTTTTAACTATTTGGAGAAAGTTTATCACAATTAAAAAACAGTTAAAAATTAAAATATTACTTTTAAGATTTTTTAAATATTATTTTTAAGATTTCATTTGAATACAATTTATTTTGTTTCTTTTAATCATGCTTAAAAATATTGAAAGCAAACAAAAAAAATTTCTATTAAGTGATACATTAAAACAACAATAAACAAATTCAAAGTTTTATTTTCTGATTTTAAAAAAATAAGCTATAACTTTTTAAATATGCTTTTTTATAATTTTAATATTAATTTGTTTTTTGAAACTATAAAGTTAAAATGTATCTAAAAATGCATATATTTATCTAAATATTTGAAAAAAGGGACAAGTAAGTGATACTCTTTATGATTATACGTAATTTTAATTTCACTTTCTATTAATCATATTATAAAAACATGGAAGACATTAAATATTTATTCCAGTTTAATTTTATTACAGGTGAAAGTCAGATGAAATTTTAGTGTTTACTTATACAACAGTATTTAATAAATACAAATATTTTCACTGTAAAATTTATAAGCACTAAATGAAAAAACCCAATTTTCTACGGGTTTTTTCAAATAAAACCCAATTTTCCCCGGGTTTTTTCAATAAAACCCAGGCGGGTTGGGTTTTTACAAAAATTCCCGGGTTTTTTCAAACCCTGCAACGTGGTTAGCATTGCGTACCGTGTGGTTAGCATTGCGCCTTTACTTCATGGACAAGCTGACCCATCGATCTGAACCTGAATTAATAATTCTTCTTTATACTAATAGAAGGCAAACATTTTCTTTTAAATTACTTTGTTCTTTAGTAACAATTTACATAATTATTTAACTTAAATATAAAATTGCTAATTTTTTATTCACATATATTCTGCATTTTAAAAATCTGATGCTGAATTATTATGAATTTTTTTCAAATCATTTCAGCTAATAGTTTCAACTTTAATAGCTAATATTTCAGCTAATAGTTTTCTTTAACGTAAAAAAAATTGTTACGTATTTTTCAGCATGTTGCTTTATTATTTTATTTGTCCAATAGTAATTTTAAAACCACACGGTATAAATAACTAACTGTTTATACGTAGATTTCCTAAAGATGAGATAAGACGAAAAGTATGAGAAGTAAATGTCCGCAGAGAAGAATTCACAACATCCAATAATAGTGTGTTATGCTCTAAGCATTTTACTGCGGATTCATTTTATAGACAATGATTTTTATCTCTTATGACGTTTTCCCAAAAATAATTAACGCATATAATGATTTGTAATTGTTTCTTTATATTTGACATACTTTCAAATGTATCTTCGATTCAAAAAATCTTTATTTTTATTTCATTGTTTTGCAAAATCATGCTTAACTAATATGTTATTAGCTTTTTATGATTAAGCAATCAAAAGCAAATAATTAAGTGTAGCGCCCATACTATAATGTATTTTTATTTGAAAACTTATCTTTTACAATCAGGAATAAAATTGGGAAAGCATTCGAAATAAAACAAACAAAAAAAAGAGAGAAAAATCTTTAGGTACTCTTAAAAATATTCCTGTACGATGCGACCGCCAGCTATGAATTTTTTGCCAAATACAAGAACCCTAACAAAAGATTGGCTCTCTCTACTCTAATATCTCCTCTAAGGTCCCCGGATCTGTTGCTCTTGAGAGCTACCACCTAACGGGTCTGTCAATGTAAATGAAGCAAATTTACTTATAAAGAAAATGTTGGCATATTTATTTAAATTTAAATCCGTGCTTTAAATTCATATTTGTATAAGTGGAAGCAAAAAATTTTCTATCATAAAAATTTATGATTTCATTTTAATAGTAAAGAATGCTTTTTTAAACTGAAACTTTAAATTGAATTTGTGTCACAAAATCATAATTTATTCCTTATTAAATATTTTGTTTTAGCGAAATATTTTCTCGTTAAAAAGTTTTATTTTAAAATAAGAACAACGGTAATGGACTTAAGTGTTTTTAATCGTCAATTGCATGTCCCCTTTGACTGGATTAAAATGCTTAGAGGGATTGTTCCCTTTCACCCTTTTCCTCTTTGTAACCCCTAAAAAAAATGATGGTTTTAAATTCAAATCCGCCAAAAATATGGTAAACGATGTGCTTTAGTTGGTATTTTTACTCAAAACTAGCACTTAATAAATTAAATCAATTTAAAGCGAGTCCATTGAGGAATAAAGATTGCATTTTAGTATGCTTTACTCAGATTAGATTAAATGTTATGAAGGTAGAAACCTTTTTTTTAATGTCTCACTATTCTTGCTGTATCTGCTGTTTTTCGACTCTTGATAAATTTGAAATCTTAAGAGTGCGACTACATGTGTCACACGTGCCTTTAAAAAAAAAAAGAAACTGCTTATGCATAAATGTAAAATAGAGACAGCTGGACTAATAAATTTATCAAATAAATATTTTTTTAAATAACAGCTTTTGCTAAACAGATGTTTTGATTCTCAAACAAGAAAAAAGATTACCGATAAATACATTTATATAAAAACTGCATCAGTGATTTTATTAATTTGTCAGCCAGGAATTATCGCGATCCCTTCTAAATTACAATATGATACCCTCTGTGTGCATTTTAGCGGTGCTTATTGTTACAGCTTTTGGTGACAATGCAGGTAAATGATTTGATACATTCTTTAATATTAGCAAAGCTGCTGCCGGAATTGGTAGTAAGAACATTCTATTTTAATCCTTCCTTCAGGGTAAGGATACACACCGAAAACTACTACATATTTATTATCATGTGAAAGATATAATTGCAAATTTATAAAAGTCATTTCTATGCTGTAATAGTCTCAAAAAATTTACATGTATGCCGAAAAAAAGGGAAAAATTAAATTGTTCTTATTATCAGTTTTTAGTCTTTTCCAGGTAAGTATCAGCCCTGCATTAGCTATAATTTGTAGTTATAGTCTTCTTTATAAAGTTTATAGCAAATGGTTAATGTTTAGAATGCGATGGTTGATGTTTAGAATGAAATGAATGGTTAATGTCGTGATTCTAACTCGTTAAGATAAATACTGGTAAAAATTCACTTGTGTTACCAGTTTTAATTTATTTACTTTTATTTACTAAAAAACAAGCAAACTCGTCTTTAAAAAGAATGTTCTGACCAAACTGCTAAAAAAAAATAGATGGTTTTTATTTTATTTTTTTTTTGCTCATTGATATAGCAAGAGAAAAAACTATAATGATTGTAAGATCTAGAATGAGATATGGATACTTTTTAACTGCAGTAATTAAAAAGTGGCGATACTATTATATCGTTGCCTAGGCGACGAAATAGAAAATATGACCCTGAGACACGATTTTCTACATGAAGTGTAACAAGGTCACAAAATGAAATATTTTGACGACTACCTTATTTTTGTCACGTAACTTGATTTGCCCACAACGAATATAGTTTGTCTATAGGAAAAACTCCCCTTGCCACGAGGACTAAGGCCATCTGCTGTTAAGAAAACAAGAAATAGCGCATTTCAGAGAGAGAAGCTGTTTTTCTCCCCTGATTTCCTTGCTCTCGACGACCCGCCTTAAATAATGACCCAATACTTGAAATAGTTAAACCTCGTATCCATAGTCACCGCCACTACTCCAGACGAATGGCCTAGAGAGTTCTTTACAAATACAAATTAAAGGATGGAGGTTAACGAAAATTTACAAAAACTCCAAGTTGACCAAATTTACATAAACTATTAAAATACCTTCGAGTAGGTTACAAAAAATATTTCTCCAAAGTCACTTGCCTTGCTGTGTTTGTCCAGAGCACCAAAGATTAGTAACTTTTTTGTTTTGTTTTGAACCAAAGTAACCACGCAAGGACCAAAGTATTATTCAAATATGCAAGGTAATTTTGTAATCATAAAGTGAAGGACTTATTCAAAATTTGAGAAATGAGTATCGAGATCAATCAGATATAAGTTGGAGAATCAAAAACCAGTTTATATTTCAGAAAAACGCTCGGGGGCGTTTTCTAAAGGAAAGAGAACGAATTTCATTTTCTTAACACACGTAAACTGAATTTTGATGGTTTTAATGTAGAATAGGTTGTTACAAATTTCTGCTTGACCAACAGAGGGCGTTGTAATCACTTGCGTTGCATTCAATGGATGGCTTATTGAGAATCCTTAAAAATACCGTACCATCATATTTCTTTTATTGTTTTACTATCATTAAATTTCTTTATCAAATATGGTTTCCTTATTCGATGCAAACATTCACCACTGAATCAATCTGCAACATAGGAATTACATCGATAACATTTTGTTACGTTTTTTTTCTCATTTAAATATTAACTTGCAATCCCTTATATATAAATTTGTATGATTTCATACTTGACAAACATTCTTAAACTGTATATTAAGAGTGGTGATTAGGTCTTCACTTCATTATAAAAAGTTTTCAAGTACTCAAAATTGTGAATACATTTGATCCGAACTTTCAAATATTTTTGTGAATGCATGGGATGTGTTTTTTAAATATCATCATAAGCTTAAATTAAACAAAATTGCTTTAACTCTCGACGCCCGGTCAGGGTCCTACTTAGCCGGATTGGGGTCAAAACTTCTTTGAGGTGCTTCCTACTGCTTCAGTAATGAAGAACTAAACTTTATGAAGGTATTTAAATTTTCCCCTCATTATACATATATAACAAAAAAAATTGACTAGAGCCTAAAATAGCTATAAAATGGCTGATGGCTGAATTAAGCCAATCAGAAGCCTGTATTTTTGTAAACATATTGCATTTTGCGATAGGTAAAAATGCAGCTTTTAATTGGGCAAATTTGTCCTTCGTAATTGCGAAAATTTAGCTGAATTCCGCACTGGAAAGACATGGATTTACGAGATAGAGATATTTTGTGCTCATACGATGGATTCGCTCGAAGAAGCTAACATAAAACTGACGGATTTTTCATTGTTCTCATATTTTGTTTAAAAAAAGTTCATTAAAGAAGGAAACCTAAAATAAACTTTCGATTCGATTTTGGGGTCCAGGGCATCTGACCCTGTCTTTGTCAGGCTCTGCGCCCGGTGGCTGAGTGGTAGCGCTTCTCGTTCTCGGGCCACGGATCCTGGGTTCGATGCCAGGACCGTGTAAAATTGAACCAGCCTTTCATCCCTTCAGTGCGATAAAATGATTATCAAGCAAGATTGGAGACTAAAACACTGGGGGTTCCGCCTCCGGTTGACCACCCAAGCGGAACATCAGCTGCACCCCAGAGCTCAAGGTCAAGTAGGCCTTGGCTCTCTATGGGCGTTCGCGACACTGAATTTAGTAGTTTTAGTAGCTCTAAACTGTATATAAGTAATTGTTTTATATAATGAGTTACACAAATAATTTGAACTATTTTTTTCAACAATACAGAAGAGAGTCGTTTGGCCATGCAGAATCCTGATTTGTTCGAAGGAGATATCATTGGAATAGATTTAACTGTAAGTAATACTGTTCCAATATGATTACTGTTACTACAGTCCTTTGATGTTTTAAAAGAATGCTACGATATTGTCTATATATTAAAAAATCATCGGCGCCACCGATGTTCTGGGTGTTTAATTTTTACGTTGCATTTCGTTTAGCCGGCCAAATAATATCCAACTTGGGAAATTACAATTACGAAGAAGTATAGAAAAAAATACAGGGAGTACGATGCAAGGAAAGTACTTAACATTCGTTTATTAGATAGAGAATTATTAAGTTCAATTTTTAGTAAAGATACTATGCCCATGATTCTAACAAATCTCAAAAATGCAATTCCATAATTGAAATTTGGCTTGATGAAAGAGCATTTTACTAATAAACTAAGCATGATGATTTTTTTTTCTTCCAAACGTTCAATAAGTTCAAAATTTATTGGAATTTCAAGTGTTTTCTCCTATAATTTTTTCTTACTTTTTTTATTCTACATGTTGTATTGCAGTGCAAAAACTATAAGATTTAAAAAAAAAATACAATGAACCGTAAATTATTTTCAGAGAGAAATTTTTAACTGTTATAATTAAAAGTAGTTAAAAACTGTTATTATAACTCTTTTTAATAGTTATTTGCTATTTATCCATTGTAGTAGAAATTTTTTTTCTTCTTTCTTTCGAAATTCTATGTTTAAAAAGCTCGTGCTTGAGTTAATGTCAAAAGTAACGAGAGAAAGATAGTTTAATCTTAACATTTGCGTTAAAATGTTTCAAATTTCTTCGTATTAAGTCAAACAATCTGTATTTCTTAGTAAAATTTAAGTTTATCATGTACATTTAGTTTTTTCATGTACACTTGATTACTTTTCAAATCTAAGTAATCTAACATATTGATAAGAGTTCTAGTAAAAAAACTATAATAATTGTTTATTTTTAAAACAAAGCATTCATTGTTTTTGTATAAAATATTGACTTTTAAAAGGAGGAAAAACGATGAAACAACTACGGGGATCAATAATCGGAGTATTCTTGTTTATTAATGTTAAGTATCAACGTTTGGATTCCTGATTTTTTTACATCATTCTACTAAGTAGAATATGGCTTAGTTCAGCCTTCCGTGTATCATTCATTGAAAATTGTAGCATGGATAAGGCCTCTTCTCTCCGCCATTTTAAATACAAGGTTAAATGTTTTATGTCTGTTTTCTAGTTCCTTTTTTTTTTGTTTCCAACAAACTTTTGATCACAAAATACTCTGGAGAAAATTTTTTTTATTTGTTGCATTTATACAAGTACTTAATTTTTCCTAATTCGGGTATTCCTAATGTATAGCTTAGTTCATAACTGCTGTGAATTTTCAACATTTATTTATTAATCTTAAGTCACTTTTAGCCTATCTGTAGTCAGCGCCTTGTATGCTTATTCTGAAAATGGCGAAAAACATCAATGTGAAGAAAAGCCACGGTTTGTAAAAATGAAAAGCGCTTGTGCCTAGAACGCTTGATTATCTGCGCTTATCAAAATTTGCAAACATTGAGAATTATTTATTGATTTTTTTAATTGTTATCAAGTAGGAAAAATTTCTCTAAAAGGTGCTTTTTAAAAAAAGCTTAATAACTTTAAAAAAATGTAAGTTATTTGTTTGTTCTAAAGTCCGGATAATTCATTACGGTAAGGTGGTATGTATATACTTAAGTTTTAAATTAGAGCTTTGTTTCTAGTATATGGCGCTTTCACTGTTTTTTTTTTCTTTTTTTTTTTTTTTTTTTTGTGNTTTTTTTTTTTTTTTTTTTTTTTTTTCTGTGAAAGAGCTTCGAAAAAACTTTTTAAACCGATTTTCATTCGGGGAGAATTAAAATACCTGGTCTTCCAATGTATGATAACCTTTAACTATAGCTATCATTCTATTATAGATATAATCACTACCAGCCATTGGTAACTATCCATCTCACTCTTTCATTATTTCTAGGACAGAAATGCCATTCCTCACAAAGCAAAACGTTGGCCAAACAAGAAAGTCCCCTACATTATCGAAGGATCGCTCTGTAAGTATGAATAGTTAAAAGTAATTAATAACAAGCAATCATTATTACTTGTATTCGTAAATGCTGATTATTTGCAATCGTGATTAGAATTCTAATTGTAATTTGTAGTGATGGATTTTTTATTTAATAGCCGTCGTTAAACAGCTAACCTAATTTTGGGTTTACGACTACTAATGTTCAACTCCGTAGCCTTGTAATTTTGAACCCACTCCAGAAGACAAGGGAACTCCTGGATCAAGTATTGGGAGAAATTTGCCTTCGTGGAGGACTTTTTGGTAGAGCTAACCCGCGTGGTGAGGAAAATCATGAAAACCTTCCACGACGAGGGGTCTTTAACCCGTTATTTGTCCATCGCAGAGGATTTGTATGGATTTGTTGAGTTGAACTGTTGAGTCTCGAAATAAACAACAAATCAATCCGCAAGCTTGCAGTGATTCTACCCAAAATGTAACAAACGGCGCTATTCTACACAAATACAGCCAAATAAGGGATAACACTCAAAACATGGCAAACCTTACACTTTATTTATGCTGTTATATTAATTTTGTAAAATTCATTTTATAGGCTCACGACCTGCTAGAATTTAAAAATTATTCTTATATATGGTAAAATTACGCGTAAATTTAAAAAACTCCAATCACAATAATAAAACTTTCTAGAATATTAAGCCTATTCATACGCCTCGTAAGTATACCATAAGCTGAGGCATAAACCGAAAGTTTTCTTAATTTCTTACGTTTTGAAGAAGTTTGCTATTGTATGCATTCCTTCAAACATCCACTTGTTATTTGTAAAATGTAATGGGTTGTTCAAAATAAATTACTAATTAAAATAATAACAAAATAAAAATAAATAAGTAATTTATTCTCAACTGTGGAGGTCACTATAGTCCATTACGAATCTGTAGATAAATCGCAGGGGATCATTAAATCTGGTTCTCAGCATTTTTTTACCCGGGAAGAATGACTATTTCCTTTTTTTTTTTTTTTTTTTTTTTTTTTTTTTTTTTTTTTTTTNTTTTTTCTTTTTTCAAAATCTTAAACATAAAGTGTTTTGAAAAATGTTACCAATTTATTTCGGAGCTTCGATATTGAAAAAAAAAATTCATTAGCAGATATAAATATACAAGCCACAAAAATGAACACTTAATTGTATTGAAAATAACTAACGTGAAGAATATATAAAATGTTTCAAATTAAAAAAAAAAAATTTCTTTGTGGTGCATGTGCTGAAAAGGTATAAAATAAGTTGAATTATGTTTTTGAAAAAAGAACTGCTATAAACGTTGGAATTTTCTTTAGTCGTGTTTTTTTATTTTTGAATTGGGCACTTGCAACTCGATAAGAAGACGATCACTGGTACACAGATACTGGTGACCTATCACCTAAGCGCCAACTGTTCGCTTATAAACAAGATGGCGTGTTAAAGTCAAGCTAAGTTTTTCAATATAAGTTAATTAACGTGAAGTTAATTAAATACAACGCCGTATCGCCGCATCTAAGTTGTTAAAATATAATTCTTTCTCGTCTGCGTCTTTGACTCAACTTGGATTTATTAGTGGTTTATGTATTTTATTGCAACCGTGATTTTTTTTTTTTTTTTTTTTTTTTTTTTTTTTTTTTTTTTTTTTTTACTTGTGAATTTGACAATTTTGATGCACAATTAGGTTTTTATTTTTATTTTCTATATGGCTCCATGCCTATGTTTGTGTTAAATAAGAAATATATAGTAGAAATCTTTGAGAACGAATATAGAATGTGTCACTTAAGAGAATTGATACTTTAGAGAATTGATACTTTTCGGGCCTGGTTTACTCGAAATAGAATAGAAAGAACAGTTGCTAACGTAAAAAAATGCGGCTTTCACAACCATCCGCATCAAGATACCCACATTACGTCACTTGAAAGATATCTCATTGAATTGCTCGTTGATAAATACGTATGCAATTTCTTTTAGGGGTAAATTTCCTTTTCACAATTTATTCAACATGTTATTATCGAAAGAAAATTTTTTGTTTAAATTTTGCTACTTTTTTTCATTGATATTTTATATAAATAATTTCATATAAACAACGGAAATGTTTTAAAAAAAAATTTGCGGATTACAAACTGGATATAATTATAGAAATTACTGGTTAAAAAATTCTTAAATCTAAGAACCCCTGCGATTCTTTTATGGAACCTAGAAGAATCACAGGTGATCTGAGATTTCCCCTAGTTTAGAGCGGGTGCCATAATCCCAATCATAAATTAATAATTTTAGAATCCATGTCTTTTGTCATTTAGAAGCCATGTCAAAGGCTAATGGATTAGTTGAAGTTATCTGATAAAATGACATAACTAGTAAGAAAGTGTAAAGAATCATATTTTTGCATAATCTTTTAAACTTTTTGCTATAAAAATATTGATGTAATTTGTTGTAGTACAAATTTGAGCTTTTCTTAAAAAATTGAGTCTTAAAAAGTTAGTTAAGGAATGGGTTCTGAGTGTTTTTATTCCTAAGTCTGTGCCAATGTATTTGTTTTTCATGAAATAAGGAACTAAGTGTCTAGCTTTTTAGTTGAGACATTATTAATATTGCACATATTATAATTGGTTTGATGTACGTAATGTAAACATAATGTTTGTTTTTAAGATACATTTTAGAATTTGGACCTAGTATGCACTTTAGTTTGTTATAGATTCCAGAGGCTTTTGCAATAACTTTACTTATGTGGTTATTCCAATTTAAATTTTTACTAAGGGTAAAGCCTTGGTTTTATCTACAATGGGTATTTTATTTCCAAAAAATGTTAGTGTTTTATTATGTGTAAGTCTTCTACGTTAAGACTACAAAATTGACTTCGTGTGGGGTGATGTTTGGCGGCTTCTTGATGCGTGCGCATCAAGTGAGAATGCCGGATGCATAAGGCGAACGTCATCCAGTTAAGGCATACCAGCCAAAAACAAACACCCTGAATAACTTATCTAATGATCAGATGTAATTCTTTGTTCTTCCAGGGGACAAAAAGAATTTAATTCTTGATGCTATGGATGATTTTAACATGAATACGTGTCTGAAGTTTGTACCGAGGACTACAGAAAAAAACTACGTCAAACTTTTAGCAGGAAACGGGTAAATTTCTGTTAATTTTATTTAGTTAAATATTAACCCTCTTTATCGAGGTACCTATAGAAATGTGTGGTATAATGAACGGCTTTCAGTTGCCCTACATTTCGCTCCCTTCGGCGATTCTCCTAATGCGACCTTTTTATTAAACTAATGAATTTTGTATCGGATTTTAACAGCTAAAATAAAAATTATTCCGAGTAGCAAATAAATTTTTGTTTTGTGGATACCCGGAGCCGGCCTTGTACAATTAATTTTTACTGGGTATCGGATATCCGGACCAGGAAAATTTTTGGATATATGTACATTTCGATTCAAAATACATTATGAGCAATATGAGGTACTTTTTAACTTAAGCTAAACTGTACTTGCGTTACATAGAGGAAAAACCACGAAATAAATCCAAAATTAGCCAGACAGCAATTAGATTTTTGCGTCATTGCAGTAATCGCCTGGAATTCACTTGATGCTTTCTAATTAATCATCTTATTACATATTTTTAAAAACCTCTTTAAAATTGAAAGTCATATGAACCTACTCAATAACGGGGCTAACACGCAGCAAAGTAAATGATGTAAGTATGCGTAAATAGGTGCAAGATTAAAACTTTTATTTTTTGTACACAAAACCTTTATAACTTCTTAACTCATTATCTTATTGATTCCTGTTTATATCAGTCAATTTAGCAAAAAACAATTACATTAGAAATTATATTTTACATGTCCGGAAAGTTTCGTGCGTGCATGTAAAGTGCGTACATAAGTACTTGTCTAAAAATGTAAGTATACATAAAAACTCTTTGACTTATAACAACCTTTGACTGTGTGTCTCATTCGATTCAAAGCGAAATTTTTTCCCCAATCGTTTAGGCATTAATATCAGATATGCATAAAATTTTACTTTTTGTATGTAAAGCCCTTTTAACACCTAAACTATCAGTTTGATCCTCTGTAGATTAGCTCATTTAATTCAGCACGAAAAAAAATGGGAAACAATGTGATGAAATTGAACTATCCACCTTAAACCCCCTCATTTTTCTTAAAAAAAGGGGGATCGTACCGAATAGTTTCGGGGAATTTTCAGGTGTTATTTATAGTAATATATTAAAGCCTTTCAAAGAAATCTTGGTTGTTTAGTTTTTCGAAGAAAAAATTTAACTTTGCTGAATTATAAAGGATTTTTTTTCCCATTTAAATAGAGTGTACACTTCTCATGGTTAAGGAATTTGTGATTTCCCAAAATGATATAATAAAGGCGGTGATTATAGAAAATCCTTCATATTCTAAAACAGATCACTTAATATACCATTAAATGTTTTTTGGATTAGATGTTATTCACAAGTTGGCATGAACGATCGAGGTGAACAGCAAGTGTCCCTGGGCAAAGGATGTGACCACAAAGGAGTTGTTGTTCACGAACTTGGACACACAATTGGATTCTTTCATGAACACAACAGATCTGATAGAGATACATATTTAATCATCTACTGGCAGAACATAAAAGAGGGTACGTGTTTTTTATTTTTAGTTCTACACTTTCTGAAACATGAGTTTACTAAGTAATCTACCTATAAAGGATGTTTTGTGCCTCCGTTCTAAATGTGCAATTTCAATTGTGAAAATAAAAATAAATAAAACCATGTACAGGATGCTATAAAAAAGAAATGCACTAACACTTTGAAATATCAAACTTATTTTCTGTTCTAGTAAATTAAACTTATGGAAATGAAAATTTTAATAATGTTTGAAATGGTAACTTTCATCAACCGATTTCTGAATTCGAGCCATCACTTACTGTTTGCTATTTAGTGGGTTGAATAGTCAGAGCATTGATTCTGCTGCCACCTGTTGAGGAAAAATAACATTACTTTCTTGGAACCGGGAATAAATTTTTTATGATACTTTACAATGTGTCTACAATATTTTTATGCATCCTGTATACACTCGAGATCAAAAATGAATATTTCAGCCTTAGAAGAAGAAATATCGATGTAAATTTTCTATAGTGCAAGTCATCTTAAAATCAAATATGCATTGTGGGTCAAAAATTAAAATTCAAGCTGAGGTAGGAAAAAAAAATGATATCAAAATCTGACGAATAATGTTTGAGGAAGTCTTGACTGCATCTCAATGAGTTTGTTGCAGGGAGAAAATTTTATTCCTGATTATCACATTCCATTTTTTCTTACTTTTCTTTCGCGATTAAATTGGCGTTGAATTTTTTATCCTTGCCCTCCTTAGATTGGTATTCGTCATATGTTTTTTCCTCTCTTAAATAAAATTTTGATTCCTATTATTCATATAATTTTGCCTTTATTTTTGACAACTTTTTTTAAACTTACAGTACGCAGAGGAAAAAAAACAAATCACGGGGTTGGCCTCAAAGATACTAATTGAAAATCAAGGGTACAAACGGTTTATGTCCTCTGTTGCATCATGAGAATTACTAAGTTTCGATTAATCAATAGTGTTAAAAATCTGTTTTCCTCGAGAGTTATTACACTCTGAAAATCGGCCATTCAGTGAAGAAACCCTTTCTATCCACGCACAAAATCATTCTTCCACTGTGGTTTTCAATCAAACGTCAAAATTATCAAAACGGAACAGAACCATGCTGACCTTATTGTTTGTTAGAACATCAATCCTTAGTAAACGTATTTATTACCTGGAATAAGAATAATTTTTGGAACTGTAATTACCTACAAATAAGGAGTGTTTGAGAGTTGACACAGTAAAAGAAACAAATTCAACAGCAAGAAAACAAAGGTATTGCAGCTTCTTCTTACCTAGTTGAATGTAATTTAGAATCCGTCCGCTAGAACGTAAAAGTAATTTCGTTTAGAATCGATGAACCCGGTTTCACCCCAATACCCGGTCTTTCCCTACTCTCCCCAACTCAGAATCATTTGTTACCTTCAACGATTTTTAATTTTTACAATTTCGAAGTATTCTCATCATAACATAATATTAACATTTTATTGGCATTCACAAAAGGCTTGTATGTTTCATTTAATTAAGTTTCAATGACATTATCAATCATTTTTTTGTCAAAAGTTACCATTGAAACTCATGTGATTAAAAAATAGTGTCAACTGTTTTAATGTTATATTATTATGTATATGGTGAGGGTGTTCACGTGTTTTCATATAGGGATTAAGGAGCAAACTGAAAAGGGGTCGTAAACTCTTTTAGTTCAGAACTTTAGCTACGTTACGCACTTCTGTGCGTAAAGTAACAGCTAATTAATACCGATTCTTTGATTATTTTCTGTGTTTTTTTTTCTTTTCTTATCCCTTATATTCTTTTTTTTAAGTGATATTCAGTTAGGTTGTTGATATCATATCAATCCAATACTTCGAGTTCAGGATTTTGAATGCATGATTTATTTTTTTAGGGATGGCACCACAATTCACTAAACTTGATGCACACCAAAACATCATCTACAATAAATTTGATCATGATTCCATTATGATGTATGGCAACTTTGCCTGGTCCAAGGACGGCAAGCAAAAGACAATGATTTCCATGAATGGCAAAAAGCTTTTGGAAATCAAAGACAAGAAAGGACTGACAGCCAGTGATATACAGAGAATCAACAAAATGTACAACTGTTAATGTAATATTTTGCTAAACTGCAAATAAATGCATTATTTCTGATAGGCTAAATTATAATTTCTAAAAGTGTATTTTATGGGTGTTCCGTAATGAACAGCCTTAAGATACACTTTTTCAAAACATAGCATTTTTAATCCAACTGTTTATTAGCTTACTTGTTTTGAGAATCTTTACCGAGTAGCAGCAATAATGATCTGCTTAAAATAGCACATAAATCTTACTACTTACAGCAGGGATGAGAAGTTTCTCCCATAATGGAAACTTTTTCCAAAAATAAAAACATCAAATACTAAAACAGTTTGGAATTGCAGTCGAGTTTAAATATATGTATTAATTTTCAAGCTATTCAATATATCATTGAATTTGCACGCATAACTGTGAAGTAAAAAGTAATAAATTAAAATGACAAATTTTAAGTATTTCATTAAATTAAAATAACTGTAGTTCTCCAATATTTGATGTTAATAAGTGTAATTAAATCTTCTCTATTAAAAAAATCGTAAATGCTTCCGCCGCTGTTTTGAGATGAACTTAAATTTCAAATTACGAAGTTGTGTAAAATAATGAGTACGATGAAATCAAATAATTAAACTTGACGTGGATATAGAATAGAAGCCATTTACTCAAACAGTGATTCAAGTTCACCGTGAGACGCCTTTATATCTAAGCCCATAATATTTAAATTAATAGTTACTATCTAGATCAGTATTTAAATTTTCTACATGCAGCTAATATACTACTTTTTAAGATTCAATAGGACTAGGAATATTTGTACTTTTTTATTTTTAAATTTGATGATACAACATGGAGGGAAATCAGTAATTTTTATTATTATAAACAAAAAATTTTTGTTTTTTTAATATTAGCACTTAGTAACTTACCATAACAAATTGCAGAGAGCTTTTATATTTCTGGGTCATATATATTTTATATTTATTATTAGTTACTATTAGAAGGAACCTTTTATCAAATATTATACCAGTAAACACTATGTGAAAGAAAAAAAGCTAACTCTAAAATTAATAGTTTTGAGTTATTGTAAAGAAGAAAAAAATCATGAGCAAGTTATTACACAAATTAAAAGATTAATAAAGTTACACTAGGTTATTTTACAAAGCTTTTATGTTTCTTTTTTTTTCCTTCAAAGATTCAAAATATAATTATGATTAGTAAATGAATTATTACAATCTGGATTAGCAATTAAATCTTTTACAAGCAACTTAACGACTATTTATGCATCTAGTCAGGGTATTTGTAATATTTTTTAATCTTTTACATGCAACTAAACAACTATTTATGCATCTAGTAAGGGTATTTGTACTATTTTTTATGCACTTTACTAAAACTTTATTATAAATATTTTCTTTCTTTGACAGTTTTAAAAATAAAATTTTTTATTGCTGTCCCTGAAACATATTAATTTAAGTTTATTTTATTATGTTAAGTTATGTATAAACTTAATTTGCACCTAACTTAGTGTAATAAATTTCAAAGAATGAATTAAATATAATTATGTATGANGTTTCCCTTCGGCACATTTGACGTCATAACCAATCAGGGGTAGTTTTTGATTGCATCACTTACGGAGGCCTTTTGGGGCAATTTAAATGTTTAATAACTAAATAAATTAACATTTGCCGAAAAAAACAATCAGATTTTCGGTTTCAGGAGAGAATTTCCAATATGTTAGGTATGAAAATAAAAAAAAATTATGATATGCTGTAATTGTCCATTATGTATGATCTATTTAGTAACGTCATTATCATATTATTAATATTTTCTTAACTTAATTAACTTTACTGTAGATGAAAATATGTTGCAAAATCTAACGCCACTTACTTTAAATCAGAAGCTATCACGTTCACAGCTTCTTTTAATGATGGAACCTCACCTTCGTTTGTATCAGTACAATTTGAAATTCTTCGTTCCTTGTTTTATGTAAAAACTAATTATTTAATACATTAATTTCTTTTGTAGGAATAGCTCCTTGCTATAATAAATATTTAAATTAGTAAAATTTTGATATTTAAAATAATGTTCTTCGAAATGGTCCGAACATAAAACCGTATACTTTCTTGTAACGAAATTGTACAGCTTTATTTTCAGTAACCATGCTTTCAATTGTTCTTTATTATTAACCGGAAACGTAAAATGAAATTTATCGATGCAATCTCATTTAGTTTGACAATTGAAGCTTCCAAATGCAGCACAATATGCAGTTATATCAACAACAACAAATATTTAATAAAATTATGCCAAGGAATATGTTGCTATCAGAAACGCTGGCAATGCACTACTCTCTGCGCTTGTAAACAGTACAACTCACGTGACATGTGATATTGCATGATTCATGCAATATGTGTGAATGATAACTCGCTCTAGAAATGATGGTTTTTCCTTCATTTTTTCAAAGAAAAAAAAAACACCATAATTTTTAAAGAACGTGATAAAAACATTTTATATTTTAATAAAATACGACTGTGAGTGGGGAGCCGGTATGATTATACAATATATATTATATTGAATCGTTTTTCATCTAATTTTGTTTAACTAAGATTAAAAAAAAATCTTTAAACCAAAAAATAAGGAAAAAAATTTTTTTTTAAAAGGTCTGATTTATATGATTAAAATTAAATAATATAAAATAGATTTTTTTCTCTGTCCAACAACTCATTTCGCAGATCGCACAATACAAGATCGGGCATTATAAGAAAGGAATATTGATAAAACACATTTTATATGCAAAACATAAAAGTTATTTTATTAATTTATAAACTTGCTGGAAAATTGAACAATTTAAAAAAAAAAATTAAGTTAACAAAATGATACATATAGTAAGTATAACATAAATAACAATAATCTGTAAATGTTTGTAGTATACAAAAATATTTTTGTTAGCACCAACCGCAGCTTTGTTCATGACTACATCCTTGTGAATGATTATCATTGAGTTTTTCCACTAAGCAATATTTTTTTAAATTGTTTTTTGTATACATAAAGAAAATTTCAAATATAAAATTTTTAATCCTTTTTTTCTTTGTTGAACAGAAAAAGAAAGTTACTTATTAAAAAAAATCATTACTTTATACTAGTATATAGATTAAGCTATGGAGGAAAAAAGATTTGGGCAGTTTATTACATGTATATATAATTTATTAAAATGCACAGAAAACAAAACTAGTTTTTTCGTTTTGTCTGTATTTATTACCATAATTTACTTAATGAAAAAACTAATTATTTTGAGTTTATTAATAGTGGCACAATTTATTATCAAATTTGATTGATATTCATGAATCTTTTTGAACATAAATGGTTTCTAAAAAATAAGAATTTAGTGCCTTTTTTTTAAAAAAATTTTTGAAATCTATCAGATCCATAAAAAAAAAAAATACTAAAAAAACAGTAACCCTCTTTTTTTTATGTAACTCAAAAAATGCATGGCAAACGAGAACAATAGCACTCTTAAATTAAATTGATACAGTTTTATAGATTATTAGCAACAACAACTACTGTCTGCTTTTTTATCGTTTACGCTAAGAACAATATTAACAGAACTTCTTGACAACGATGATGCTTTATTTAGCCTGTGATTTTTCAGTTTATGAGCTAGGGTCATAACAATTGTGTCCACATGCTCTGCTTGTCGATCATCAAAAGCAGATGTTTGAAATAAAGGCATATCATGGTCACCAGCGAACTTCCGAGCCATATTGGTATTTACAGCAATAGCATCAATAACGTCACATTTGTTTCCGATCAATATTTTTGGAATGTCTTCAGACTGTCCTTGATACTCCTTAAATTCAGCAATCCAGTGTGGAAGATTTTGAAAAGATACTATCTTTGTAACATCATACACAAAAACAACAGCATGGACATTGCGGTAGTAAAGAGGAACCATACTTGCGCGGGAACTTTCCTGGCCAGCAGTATCCCAGAATAGTAGCTATACAGATAAAAATTTAAAAAATAGCCTATTTAGATAAGTTACATAATTTATGAAAATAGACATAAACCAAAAAATAAATAAATAAAAAAAGTAGATAATTATACATAGTTAAGACTGGTGGATGTTGTCAAACAGATTTGATACATCATATCATAAGACAATCTTTCTACTTAAATATTACAACATATATAAAATAAAACCAGTAAAATATATAAATAATATTTTGCATCAAACTAAACTATGAGAATTATATGATAAGAATATTAAAACTAACAAAATTAAATAAAAAAGATAATGAAATTTTAAAAACTAATTGAAAAAAAAAAGAAAACCATACGAAATTGCAATCTTAAAAACAGAAACAAATACCTCAACAGAAATAATAGAAGTTGTAACTGAATTACTAAATTACTACTACATAAAAAAAATATTATGGACTCGTCAATGAAATATATATAATCCTTCACTCATAAATGAGATATTTTTAAAAGTTATTTTGTATATGCATTATATGTTAGACAAAAGCATTTTCTTGGGAAGCAAGACGTTTTCGATGTCGAAAAAATGATTTTTTCAACCATATCGACAAGCCATTTTTTCTTAATATTAAATAAATTTTAAAACTTTAAACTTTACATTTATAAAAACTACATATCTATATCATTCAATAACAATAAAAAGGAATTTAAAATGCTTATAAATTTAATTTTTATAAATATTTGAAAATTTAATGTATATATAATTTTTTTTTAACCAGACATAGCTTTCGGTACGCTCAAAAAATTTTCTACATGAAATATCAACAAAAAATTGGCATACACTCATGTAAATATGTTTGAAAAATCAGGTGAAATAGTTTGTTTCATAATATGTACAGAATATATTATATATAAGCAAAATAAATGTAGTATTTCTGAAAAAAATGCAAAATTTCGTTCAAATTTTGAAAAACTTCCCATGTATAATAAAATTATAATGAAAAAACTAAACTTTATATAGTTAATTAAATGTAAATAAGGTATGTGTACAAGCATAGAAATTTTCATAACTTTACAATGATTTGTTTTTTGTACGAGCGTACCAAAAGTTATGCCTGGTAAAAAAAATTTTTTATTTGCATTAAATTTTCAAATATTTATAAAAATTAAATTTATAAGCATTTTAAATTCCTTTTTATTGTTATTGGATTATATGAATATGTAGTTGTCATAAATGTAANAAAAAAAATATTATGGACTCGTCAATGAAATATATATAATCCTTCACTCATAAATGAGTTATTTTTAAAAGTTATTTTGTATATGCATTATATGTTAGACAAAAGCATTTTCTTAAGTATTTTATTCTAGTAATACACGATTAGTTTAAATGTAAATTAAAAAGAAAGTAATGTTTTTAGTTTTATGTGTGATGTAAACTGAGAAAAGTAGTAAACATTAATATCAATAATAAACACTAGATATTTTTTTAACTACCACCTCAGTTTAAAAAATAGTCTTTTTTTTCTTCAAATAAACCATCTTCAAAGCGTTTTTTTATTAAAAATATTTAATTTGGAACAACTTCTTTTCTAATCATTTAATACAAAAATTTTAATTTTCAAATGAAATCAGTATTTTATTGTAAATTACTGTTACATGGAAAATTTTAAGCAAAGTTAAACTTAGATATAAAATGTGCTTCTAAAAATGCAATTATATTTTTAACAAAAACAAAAATGGATTCATTCATACCCTCATAAGTTCATTGTCCACAACAACTTGTTTTTCAAGGAAGTCAACTCCAATTGTTGCTTCAGTATTCAAAGGAAATTTCCCACTACAAAATCTGTTGAGAAGACATGTCTTTCCGACATTAGAATCACCTAAAACTATTATCTTAAAAATTCTACCCTTTTTTTCACTAGAGCTCATCTTTAGTTTCAGTATCTAAAACAGAAAAAAAATATTTATGTTGTGTAATATAATAAATACAGTGAAACCTCAAGATGCATGACGTCAATAAAACTAATTTATATTTTTGGTGTTCTGTTCTTTCATGAGACAGTAACATATCACGGGTCTGCTTTAATGTGATTTTTTTTAGTGTGACTTCAAATTTTAATGTGTAAATATTTTATTTATTAAAAAGTGTTGTATAAACTTAAAAATAGAAATAAATCCAAAAAGTTATTTTAATTTTGTTATATGTAATAAACTAAAACTCAGAGGCGCGACAGCCCATAGAGGGCCAAGGCCTACTGTGCCCATCTCAGTTTTCTTGACAGGGTTTGAAAAAACCCGGGGATTTTTGAAAAAACCCAACCCACCTGGGTTTTATTGAAAAAACCCGGGGAAAATTGGGTTTTATTTGAAAAAACCCGGGGAAAATTGGGTTTTTTCATTTAGTGCTCATAAATTTTACTGTGAAAATATTTTTATTTATTAAATAGAGTTGTATAAGTAAACACTAAAATTTCATCTGACTTTTACCTGTAATAAAATTAAACTGGAATAAATATTTAATGGTCTTCCATGTTTTTATAATACGATTAACAGAAAGTGAAATTAAAATTACGTATAATTATAAAGAGTATCAGTTATTTGTCCCTTTTTTCAAATATTTAGATAAATATATGCATTTTAACTTTATAGTTTCAAAAAACAAATTAATCTTAAAATTATAAAAAAGCATATATAAAAAGTTATAGCTCATTTTTTTAAAATCAGATAATAAAACTTTAAATTTGTTTATTGTTGTTTAATGTATCACTTAATAAATTTTT